AAAGAATCCCAAATATGAAAAACCTGTACAATGCCACTCTGCATTCACTTTAAACAGAAATGATGAGAGTTCAATGTGAAGCAAGGTTATAACGTGGAACACAGGACGATTAGTTCTTCTAAAGTCTGTTTCTAATGCATCTCTTCCTTTTTCTTACTTTATTTGTATGCAGTTCTATGCATTAATAGTCAATGCAGAGCTTCATTTATCTGGCAGTGAAGGTTATATAGTGCTAGAATGCAACATCAGCATAGCTCTGAAATGAAATGAAATTTTCTTTATGTCAAAAGAACAACATTGTAGAAAGTTTTTGTGATATTATAATTATATATTCCAATTTTTCTTGATCTGGAAGTAATGCAATAAAGTAGGAGACATGGAACATGCACAGTTTGTACAGCTGATTGTATCCACTGTTTCAGTAGATGGCACGTGGATTTTTGGTGGTATAATAGGCCTCACAGGCTGCTACATAAGCTGACTCTGGAAAGAAGTCATCGTGATACTCAGCTAGAAACCTATAGAAGTAAAATAAGTATGATTATTTGTTCTGTTAAATTATCCAATATAAGTTATTTTTAAAATGCTTCTGAAAAACTGCCATAAATTAACCATGTGCATACAACAGCATACATCAATCTTATAAATGGTTAATTGAGAGTGGTTCCCATTATACCCAATGGGACTTACTTTTGAGCTCTGGACAGCCACAAGTAATCCACTGAAATACCTCTGAAATGCTTTTGTTAAAAAGTAGGATCATTATTTCAACAGATTTTACAGATTTTTTCTATTTTCCCTTTAACTCATTTGAAACTAAAATAATTAGATAGTATTGTAACTTTATACTTGATGATTAAATTGTTTTTTTCCTGCACAAGAACTTTAAAACATACTCTAAAAATACTAATCCAACACAGTTATAGCCTCTTGTTTGCTATAGCTAATATAGATTGGAACTAGATTATCTGCATATTAGTACAGACTAGTGGTCACAGGCTATTACTGCAAGTTATATTACTTAACAATATTCTTCCTACAAATAATATACCTGAATATTTTAATTAGAAGATTGATAAAGTCAAACATTATGTAGTTATATAGCATTTGACAGAAGGACTAATTCAATGCTGTAGAATTAAGAAATATTAATTTTGAATGGCAAGTATATTGTTCTACATAGGAAAAAAAATTATCAGATCCTAAATATACATCAGCAATGGACCTACAGGAGATTTTGACATTATATGTCACTAGCAGATTATAACAAGCTCATATTCTTTTGGTGCAAACACCTTCTTTTAAGCAATACAGGAAGAACAATCATCTTTCTGATCTATATGCAAGCTCTACATACACTGAAATGCCACTTTAATCATAAGTCTGGCACATCATTTCTGTCAACTTCTTATACACAATACAGGTAGTCCTTGTTTAGTGACTGCCTCAGTTAGTGACCATTCGCAGTTACAAAGGTGATGAAAAAGTAACTTTGCAACCAATGCTCGCATTCACCTTTGCAGCGTCTTTCTCTCTCTGTCATGTGTTCACTATTAGTCAGTGAGTTTGCGTTGTCCTGTGCCTGACCTGTTCTTTAAATTTTTCTCCCCTTGCAGAATGCAGAGATTGCCTAAACAAGCTATGTCTTCCTGAGCTGCTTTTCTCTGCAGCACAGTGTATCTCTAAAAAAAGTACTACAGCTCTCTGACAGTAATTGATTAGAACCCTCTGCCAACTCCCACCTGCCGCCTGAAATTGACCAGACCTTAATCAGTTTCAAGTGAAGGGCTTTGTTTGCCTCCTGCAGGCTCAGAGCTAGCACATTCCTTTGGAAGTGTATTCCCCATTGTGTGCTTGCTTACTCTCTTGTAATCCCTTCCTCTCCAATGAATGTAAATGCAAACATTCTCTCCTTGCTAATTATTTAGCTCCAAGTGAGCATTCCAAAGGGTGGGGGTGTGGGGAAAAGGGCTGTAAGATTTACCCTGTTACTGGCTTCCTCATGAGCTCAGTTCTAGAAAACTTCCCTGTCGCTTGGGCTCACCTGGCTGTTTGGGGTCATATCCTTCTGATGATATAAAGCAAAGGAAACCTGAAGTAAAATTGTAAGCATAGTTGTGGTCATGTGATTTTTCACTTAGCAACCACTTTGCTTAATGACCAGGTTGCTGGCCCTAATTGCAGTAGCTAAATGAGGACTACCTGTAATATTAAAAGGAAAATACTTTTACAGAAGCTAAAACTTCCTGGTTAGAATCTTCTACTTTTCTCCTATAGGTTGAGTTACCTATGTAATACACATTTCTTCTACAACTAAAATGTTTGCTCTGCAAATTACTACATATTCTTGAATGTTTAGGCTTCTAAATTTGCTGTCATCCATAAGTTACCTTAGGAACAATTCGAAATGCTTTACTAAAGCTTTTAGATTTTTGTCAGAAAAGCTCATCTTCCCAAGTATCTCTGGAAGCTTTACTGTAAAAACAAAAAGGGAAAAAATGTCCACCTTTTAAATTTGATAGTTTTCCTTCAGTTAAAAGCAATTAACTATTAAGACCTTATCTTATTTGTTAGTGTTATATTCCATCTTTGTTTCAAGCACTCAAGGTTACCTTCATCCAATTATTCCCCACAATAATGCTATAAGGTAATTTGGGCTGACAGTGAATAACTGGCCCAAGATCACTCATGCTTTATAGACAGCAATATGAAAAATAGAAAGCGAGTTAGATGGAAGCATAGTTCTGATTTTTTTAAAAAAAAAAAATCCTTTGAAGGTAGGCTTATCTCTCTCAATAGGTCAGATTACTTACAAGTACTGCTACATATATGTACCTGAGTGAACTAAACCCTATTAGGAAAGCAGAATTAACTTACGATTAAAAATATCCAATAAATATACTGCATGAATTAAAATTACAACCAACACCATTGTAGAAGTTCATATGTATTACCAAACATGCGCAGCAAATGCTGAGATCCATAAATGTAAGAAGGTGGTGGCGGCTGATCGCCTGGGGGATAGCTTTCTGGCATAAGTTTCCATGACAACACCTAAGTACAAAATTAGAATAATCTTTGTCTTGATCTACAAAAAAGTATCCCAGAAAATAATGTAATTTAAAATCATGTCAGGATTCTGCCAAATATTGGTCAAAATCTTTTTCTTGGTAGTTTTAAATATATAAAATAACATAAAAACTTCCTCCTAATTTGCACAACTTTTTCTTTCTGAGTCAGAACCATTTCCAGAACTGTTTTTTAAAAGGCTAGGAAATTTACAAGATTATATACACAATTAATTAATTGTGACTACAAATTCTAATACACAATAGAGTTCCTTTAAAACCTTAACCACATCTTTAAATGTATCAAATGTAAGATATAAGGATTTGTAATTCAACATACTTAGGAAGAGGTTAGTCTGTATTAAGCAGTAAGCTAAAACGATGCAAGTTGCACTTCAATAATATCTGGAGGAATATAGGTTCCTCATTCCTAGTTCAAAGACATCTTGATTCACAGTACTAGCTTTCAAGGTCTTGGACAAAAAGAGCTTACCTCATTCAATTCATTATTTCTTCTGCCTTCAAATCCAGCAAATACTGCACTACCCTCTTTGCTAGGTGTCAGCGTAATAGGTGATGACGACCCACTGTGGACAGGAGTTTCTTCAAGAAAAGAGCAAGATGTTATTTTATGCACAGATGTACAGGGACAAGGGCTCTTATTCAGCCACGAGAGATTTCCTGCATCTGTTAATAAGTTCCTTTGACCTTTTTCTTTTTTTGGGGGGGGGGGTTTGCTTTAAAACAGTTTTTGACTCCTGGCGACTGCCTGGATTAGTCCTTGCAGTTTTCTTGGCAAGATTTTCAGAACTGTTTGCCATTGCCTTCTTCCTAGCTGAGAGTATGTCTGGCCCAAGGTCACCCAGCTGACTTTGTGCCTAAGGTGGGACTAGAACTCATGGTCTCCTGGTTTCTAGCCTGGTGCTTTAACCACTGCACCAAACTGGCTCTCTCCTTTAACTTAGGCAATCTTATTTTTATAAAATTACATTAAGTATAAATGCATGTGATGACCACATTAGTATCTTTGATCAATATTCAAAATAGATATAAATGTATTTTCTAATATGGACCTTTTTAATCCCCCAGTGTCATTACTCCTCACACACTAATATCCAGGATATAATAATTCTTTGCTCTGTGTGTTTGTGTGTGTGTGTGTGTGTGTG